GGTCTATCATAAGATATTCATCTACAGGTAATTAATACTTGGTTTATCATAAGATATTCATCTACAGGTAATTAATACTTGGTATGACGGAAAGCTGTTAGAATAACTTCTTTATTAAGAGGAAAAGGAAGAGAAAATACAACTGCAAAGTTGAGTCTCGAATCCAGATTTTAAATTCGTCAGTCAACCTCGTGAAACTAAAAAAAATAAAACCTTTAACCAAAGAAAAAGAAACAGAATGACCAACTGCACAGAAGCAGCTGTAATCCAGTGTAATTCAAATTATTTAAATTTGTCAGCCAATCTTCTAACACTCAAAGAATAAAAATTTCTGTTTTTATAAATTAATTTTACCATACCACCAGACTTGTCATTTTAAACTGATAAATTTTAAGCCTTTTAACCAAACGTATAGATGACATCTCTACAAGAGTTTTAACTGTTTGATTCTCGTCTTACTGAAGCAGATTTTTGTTCATTTTGAGTTGATTTACGTTTAGATCTACAACATTCTTTACAAACAATAGTTTATTATTCGTTTTTCTTATTTTTTAAATTGTATAACTGAATTTTTTCGTACACTTTCATTTGATAATTTAGACTATATATTTTTTGTTTTATTTTTTACCCTTAAATATTTCATTCTTAAAGTAGTTTGTAGTGTTCTGGCTCTATAAATATTAACCATATAAAAACGATTCAACAGAAAGGTTATGGGTTTGTTTTCCCTACAGATTTATAGAGATGAGGATGTTGCATTTAACGGAAACTCACTTTTTATCATGACAATTGATAAACAAGTGACATTAGCGTAAACAATGAACTTAGTTAGGCATCAAAACAATCTTATCTGTATAATAGAAAAATGTTCGAAGGCATCTCTGAGGCCACTGAATATATATAAAGCTAATACCGTGGCCTTCATAACCACGGCACAGCTGTCGATTTACCTCGTATTTATGTTGTACGTAATGTGTTTCAATCAATGTTAAATGTGTTTAGTTGAATGGACTTTATTTTGTCGGCATAAAACAAAATTGCTAATGTTTACTTTCTTTACAATGTGTGTTATAACATACTTAAACATTTAATAGTCATTTTAGAAAGGAAATATATTGGTAAGAATAGATTTTCTTTGCAGATATTTCCTTTACATCACCTCTCACTCCTTACCATCCAAAGGACTGGATGGAGTTTTTTTAGTAGGTAAGAGAACGTTCTAAGTCATGAAGACTTAGAATTAAAGTAATAAAGTTTAGTTCGTGAAAACACGCCCGAAAAAAGCAGAAAAACGCCTTACAGAATCGGAAATGATGCCTATCAGACCTCTAAGAAAGGTTAGGGGAAAAAAGTAGTTTCTCAGCGTTCACTTTATTAACCGTAGAATAATCAATAACAATGTTTCCGGCGGAAGTAAAATTGACTAAAGATTTCTCGTGATGTGTAGGAAGATGATTAGATAACTTGTAGAAATATATTTATTTATGCATTTATAAGAATAAATCGTGTATATATGTATCGGATTTGTGTTTATAGAATATGATAACTATTCCATTAAATTCTCAGCCCAAAGTTGCACTACTGACCACGTGCGCTGTGCAAAGGGCAGAGATCAGCCCTATTTAAGCGATATAAACCCCCAAGCTTGCCGCTGAGGGCAGCTCGTTCAGACCTGTCTTCAAGATGTATAAAATTTTGTAAGTTTAACCAAATGTGAAGCCATTATGATTGGAAGTTAAATCGTAAAGAAATTTTCTCAGCAAGACCATTCAGTCAAGTTACTTAATCTTAAATGGTTAGCGTGATTCAGTTTGGGCCGTGGGTGCGCAATAAGAGTGACAGCCAAATATCACAATTCGATCAGACAAGACTAGTTCAGAAGTTTGCGATGGTTGGTAGCTGTTGCATTTCCTCTCCTCTATCAATTAAAAATTAGGGACAGCTATAGCAGATAGCCCTTGAGTAGCTTTGCGCGAAAATTGGAAAACAAACAATTGTACTCATTCTTGACCAAATGGCACTTATATTATAAAAGAGAAATAACAAAACCAAATGAAGAGATAAATCATATATATAAGTTACCACTTAAGTGGTCATTAATAAATGTTTAAGATAATTTACAAGTTTCAGAGAAATTACATTTAAATGAACCCCTAATTGCATGCCAATGAACTAATGAATTTGGTTCATTTAAAATAATATACTATTCTTAAATCCTTATTATCTTTATAGATGAGTAAACACAAGATTGGTATTTAGGCTTAAGTTATTTACCAAGATTTAGTTTAGACATGTTAATATAGTTTTACTTTAAAATAGTTTAAGATCATGATATTATTTGCAATAACTTATAGTTAAACTATAATTAAGGCATTAGTTACGTATCCCCCAACTGTTGTTTCTTATTAATTGCCTTAATTCTGCAAAGGATTAAAAATGTAAATTCACTTTCAAATAATTAAGTTTGGCTTAACGCTTTAGAATGTACAGCCTTTTTAGCAAGTTTAAGTCAGGCTTAACTCTTAAGGATGTGAAGCCACTTTAACAGACTTAAGTTAGACTAAATATGAAAAAATAAAATTACCCAAGATGTATAAATCGTTTTCTTAACTAAGTAACTTAACAAAAATATGCTTTCAAAATTGGCTATTAAGTTTCACTAGCTATGTCTTAACGATACTGAACACATTTTAGGTTTCTCTGAACAGACTCGATAGTATTTTTTAGCTTTTAAAGATCCTATAACCTTACTTATATGTTTCTTTTATATTTTATTGTTATAATTGAGCTGGGAATTTACAAAAGTCTGAATTAGTTGATTTTCTATGTTCTTGTTGATTCTATTTTCATTAACGTTGAAAAAAAGAAGAATTGTAGAAAACCGCTTAAACATTTCTAGACGCCGAGCTGACAATAGTAATACATCAGTATTGTGAGATTAGTACAACAACTTGGCAAGATTAGTACACTAGCGTAGCAGAATCAATACATCAGTCTGAATGGATCAGTAAACCAACTTGGCAAGATTAGTACACTAACGTGGTAGAATCAATACATCAGTCTGACTGGATCAGTAAACCAACTTGGCAAGATTTGTACACTAGCGTGGCAGAATCAATACATCAGTCTGACTGGATCAGTACACCAATCTGACAAGATCAGTGAATCAGTCTTGTAGTATCAGTACATCAGCCTAAATGAATTGGTGCACCAACCTGGCAGAAACAGTACACTAGCCTTGCTAGATCAGTGTATTAATCTGGCAAGATCAGTACACCAGTCTGGCAGAATCAATACATCAGTCTGACTGGATCAGTACCCCAACCTGACAAGATCCGTACACCAACATGGAAGGATCAGTGTATTAATCTGGCAATATCAGTACACCAATGGCAGAATTTGTACCTCCAATCCAACAAGATTAGTATATCAGCCTGATAGAATCAGTATATCAACTTGATAAAATCAGTATACCAGCCTGAAAAAAATGGTAAACTTACACATGCGTTATCCTCCCACTCTCTAAAACAGTAGATTGAATATTTCGCTTTAATTACCGTTGTTTGTTTTGTAATTATTAGTCCAGCAACTTTTTAAAAATTCTCAAGGGAAATCTCCCTGCCTCGAAATTACCCTCTCCAGAATACTTACCTTTCCTATTTTACAAAGTTTAAAAATTAAGCCCTGTCACCATCTGTTAGTGGAAACTGATTTCACATCTTGCAGCTTGTATATCTTGAATGACAAACAAGACGACGTATTCCTGAACATGCATTAAACATAAGTTTCAACTTCATAGATCGTATGATATCTAATTAGGAATTTACAGTAAAGAGCCTTTTTTACTGTTGTGCATTGCTGACAATTTCTACTCCAGTCTAACATGTTTGAAGCTACCAGTTTAACATGACATAAAGGCAAATGTATTGATTAAAGTAGTACAATATCCTTAAAAGATCGTGTTAGAATATAACTTGTGAGTGTTTGAGTAATCAAATGTTATTTTTCTCATGTGGTTATCAGCTAAACAAAAGTTTAACGAGACGTAGATAATATCGAATTGAGTCTCTTTTTAAAACTTACCCGATAAATCCCTTTTGAATTAACTAGTAGCTGTCAATACCAACAAACGAGTAGACAAGCTCTTCTCTACTCGAATATTTCAGGAGCCGGCAACAGCAGGTAGTTAGGCTTCGGTACCAAGCTGCTTCTGCCAACTGTTAGTCTTCTCAACTCCTAGTGGTCTGACGCAACGCGAGATGTGGCTTATAGATTGGGTAAGACTTACTACAACGTCGTATTGACCAATCATTGCAGCTGTAGAAAAAAGTGTGCTGAGCTAATGGAGAAACTCACGCGAGATATAGCTTGTTATATTCTATCTTTGTCATAAAACTATACATCAAAACGTCGTAGAGATGTTATAAGGAATCTTACAAGTGTTTCGGTCACGAAATAACACAATATTCTCGGAGAGTATAAAAGATAACCGCGAAATCTACGTTTTCAACTAATCAAGATTTGAATGATATTATTTGTTGTTACTCTGGCATTACGAGATAAAAGTGCGAAATCACAAAGTCTGAACTTTATGCCGTTTTTAAGCACAACTAGCGTTAATTTTAACATATTTTAAAGCACAATATTCAAAACAGTTACTACTGGCGAACACAATAATGTAGACAAAGGTTATCTGGTAAAGTTCTACATGTTGTCATGGTAATGATATCTTTTTATTCCTCCAACCGTCTTAAACCTTCCTTAATATGCCTAAATGTCAATTTAATATAACAATTTTCTTTGTGAATCGTTTTATGTATCAAATAATATAAATGGCTTTAGTCGTATAGTTTCTGATTGAAAATGATGTATAACATTAATCAAATTTTTAAAAATAGCATTGTTGCTAGTCACATTTCTCTCGTAAATTTACAATAAACAATGAAACAATAGGTTCTAATATACTTAGTTTTACAAATTTTGTATTATATACTGTTAACGGTGAAACAATAAATCCTTAATTATGCACATATTTTTGGAATCGGCGTTACTGTTAACAATGAAACAATGCGTTTCAATAGTTCGGTGTTAGGTGCCCTGAAATAGTTTTTTTTAATCATGTACACGCTTTTGCTAAACCGGAAATCTGTTAAATTAGTTAATTTTTTTTTTTTGAATTCATATAATAACTTAGTTAGAAACGTTAACAAGCTGCGTCACCATTCATTCTAAACCGCAACGGTATTTCCTGTGTTCATTTTCTATGGAACTATGCTGCAGTGAAAACATGCTTTTAGGCTGTACTGAACTCTTTCAACAGTATTTCTTGTTCTTACTTCAGTAAGCATGCTGCAGTAAACACGTGTCTTCTGTCAAGTGGTTATATGCTGAACTCTCTCAACAGTATTTCTTGTTCTCACTTCAGTAAGCATGCTGCAGTAAACACGTGTCTTCTGTCAAGTGGTTATATGCTGAACTCTCTCAACAGTATTTCTTGTTCTCACTTCTGTGAGCATGCTGCAATAATCACGTGTGTTTTGTCAAGTGGTTTATATACTGAACTCTTTCAACAGTTTGCAGGTTTGGTCTATTTTGGTGTAGGGGCCAATATGTTTCGGAAATCGGCCTAACACTACAGGTAAATTAACGTGCAAAAAATAGTTTAGTGACAACTTTCATGATTTTCTATCTGTTTTACTTTAATCTTTTTTTCTGACTCAGTATCTTCAGCTACTAAACAAAATTTAGAATATTTATCTGTTTATTCATGATAAATTATTATTTTGAACCCAAATCGCAATTGAATATGAGGTAATCGTAAATCGATAACGAAATTTAAATGGGGGGGGGGTGAAGTGGGTGCTGATCGCTTGTATTAGATATGGAAGTCCTGTCCACTTTCCCTCCCTGTTTCGATGCTCGTACTTTTTTTTTTTACTGTGAAGTATGTTTAATTATCAAAGTGATTTATATAATGAAATATTAAAACAGCATTTCCAGCTCTCTTCTTCTGTGGAACATTAGTAATTAATCAAGAGTCTTCAGTCAATTGGTTAATACCACACGGAACACTTTCAATTGATCTATGTTTCGTGAAGAGGAAATACCAAAAATCGAAGTTCGATTCTTGCAGTGTATATAGTGTAGGTTACACAGCTATGCGTTAAACAAAAAGAAATAAACAGTTACAAATCTTCTAATCCTGAGCTGAGACTCTTCTATACTATTAAAAGCTTAGCTTGAATATGTTAAGAGATCCTGTAAATCATGATGGAGACCGTCTTCGTTACTTTCATATCTTTTTTTTTTAAGTCGTGATGGCTAAAGTGTGAAAGTGGCATACATCATTAACTTTATACAAATAAATGGCTCAAGCCCTTAGAGAAAAAAAAGAGCTTCTGGTCTACAAGTACTGCATGTATATCCAAGTTAGAGGAAAAAAATGCTTCTAGTTTAAAAGTACTGCATGTGTATCCAAGTTAGAGGAAAAAAGAGCTTCTAGTTTAAATGTACTGCATGTATATCCAAGTTAGAGGGAAAAAGAGCTTCTAGTTTAAAAGTACTGCATGTATATCCAAGTTAGAGGAAAAAAGAGCTTCTAGTTTAAAAGTACTGCATGTATATCCAAGTTAGAAGAAAAAAAAGAGCTTCCAGTTTAAATGTACTGCATGTATATCCAAGTTAGAGGGAAAAAAGAGCTTCTAGTTTAAAAGTACTGCATGTATATCCAAGTTAGAGGAAAAAAGAGCTTCTAGTTTAAAAGTACTGCATACATATCCAAGTTAGAGGA